CCCTAATGTAAGAAATGATTCAAATATGTAAAAGTATATGGTAATCGTGATTTCCCTACTATGTGGCCTTGAACCCTTATAAAGTTTTCACTTATTAGTTGGAATGGATTTATTCTGGGCTACTTGATATTATTGCCTGTGATGAAATGAATAGTTATTTTGAAGAAAACAATACATCATAATAGCTTGTGCTGATTTAATATCATCTTCTTTTGAACCCTCACCAGACTGTTGCTCTTCTGTCACCATTGGTTTTATCATGTTGTCTCTTACTGGATTTTATTATATGTAATAGTATAAACAATTTTTATAGGCAAAGAGATAATATAGAAACCATTGTTCATTTTCTGTTAGTTAGTTCTAAATACCCTACAATGCTTTCATCCACTTGAAGGGTTTTACACTGTCTTGATATGTTTGATGCTATAGTATATGAAGGTATATGCAAATATTTCAAGGAAAAAGACACTATGGTAATTACTATTAAGTCTGGTTATTTGGTGGTGAAGCACTAGGTTGCTGAAACTGTCATGCTTTGACCTGTATTGTTATGTTGTTATATCCTCTTTTATCTCAATCTCTCCCTTATTCATTAAAAAATTATTTAGTTATTTTTTATGATTTTTTTAATTAAGGGGAAAAATAAAAAAACTAGCAAGATATATTATAGTAACTTTTATGATTTCCTATTAACAGGACTCCCTAAGTAGGAGTCCTGTAATACTCCCACTATCTTGTTTTGACTGATTAGACTCTGTTGCGTTCTGTATGACAGTATCAAGTTTGAGGGTATAGGCAACTACTTTGAAGGCAATAAGATTCACTATGACGCCCATTCTGGTTTGACTATTATCTTCTTTGGGAGTCCTCTAATGATTACAATGTTTAGGTTTTATTGGTCTTGTTCTCTACTGTTTTGTTCAACTTTATACCTAATGAGATAGACAATTATTTTTAAGGAAGCAAGAGGCATTATGGTAACCATTGTTGATAACCTTGCACTCTGCTTTTACGTCATGTGCTATGTCTATCCTCGGTTTTGACTGACAGCTTTGTTTTGTCATATTTGACTTTATTCTCTTCCAAAAAAAGTAATAAGAACTATGGAAGTGATAAAACCCGAAATGTGTAAATTTTGTTGTAAAAAAGAGAGGAAAAAGAGTGCTCTAAAGGATACCACTGCAAGTGTGTTTAGGTGTGTTAAATAGATGACCATATTAAAGTTTTTGCTTGGATCATTGAACACAACTTTTGCAGTCTCACTGTTTGAATGTCCTCTTTGTATGCTTTGATCCTGTAACTTGAGCAACTATCTCTAAAATGATAATATGTAATCTATTAACTGGTGATTTCTTACTGATTTTTTTTGCAGTTCTGTATTACTTGTACCCTTACACTGTTTTGTTTTGTTTTGTTTTTTCTCTTTTTCCTTTTAAATGAAAAAAAAAGAATAGAATCCTAAAAGCTGTTAGACAAAAGAAACAAATCACCTACAGAGGAAAGTCCATCAGAATTACAGCTATCTTTTTAGCACTGACTCTCAAGTCAAGGAGAGCTAGTAGTGAAGTATTCTAGGTTCTACAGGAAAATAACTTTCAACCAATATTAATGTACTCTGCAAAACTATCTTTCAAAATAAATGGAGAAAAAAGATATTTCCATTACAAAGAACATCTGAGGAAATTTATGACCACCAACCAGCATTCAAAAATGTTCTAAAGGGCATTTAGAAAGAGACAATAAAAAGAGCTCCATGAAGCCCAAAAGAAGGAATCCACCAGGGAAGGCAAACAATTAGAGGAAGAGGTAAAAAAGAGGAGAGCCAACCATAGGACAATAACATGACAAGAATAAGTCAATATATTTCAGTTATAACCATTAATGTCAATGGTTTTAATTTACCAGTCCAAAAAAACCCCCACAGATTGACAGAAAGGATCAAGAAGCAAGATCCAACAGAATGCTGCATAAAAGAAACATATTCAATTCAAAGAAGAATTCATAGAATGAAAGTAAAAGGATGGAAAATGGTATTCTGTGCAACAGGAACCCCCCCCTCCAAGCAGGAAGAGCTATTCTATTTGCAGGCAAAGTGAATTCAAGCCAAGGCTGATTAAAGCAGATAAAGGAGTCCTACATAATTGTAAAGGGAACAATGCAAGAAGAAGAGATAACAATCATAAATATGTATGTAACAAATATTAGTGTACCCAACTATATAAAACATATTAATAGACATAAAAAATAAGCCCTAATACAAATGTATTAGGAGATCTCAGTACCCCACTGTCACAAAAGGACAGATCAACTAGACAAAACATAATAATGAAATATTAGAATTAAATCAAACTTTTGAACAAATGGACTTAGTACATATCTATAGAGTGCTCTATTTCACAACATCAGAACACATATTCTTCTCAGCTGCACATGAGACATTCTCCAAAATACTCCATATAATGGATTCACCATATACTGTATTCTCCACATACTGATTCATAGAATATGTTAGAGAAATTCAAAAGAATTGCAGTCATCCTATGCATACTCAGAACACAGTTCATTGAAACTGAAAATTCATGGCAAGGGAAGAAATTATCCCTAACTCATTCCTGGAGGTAAGTATTATCCTGATAACAAAATCAGAAAAAGATACAACCAAAAGAGCGAACTACAGGCCAATCTCCCTGATGAACATAGATGTAAAAATCCACAATAAAATACTAGCAAACAGAATGCATCAAATCATTGTAAACCATTACAAAGTCAGATCAATCCCAAGAATGTAGAGATTGTTATATACACAAAAAACTATAATATACCACATTAACAGAGACAAAATAAAAAATCACATGATCATCTTAACAGATGCAGAAAAAGGATTGTGACAAAGTCCAGCATGCTTTCATGATAAAAACCCTACAGGAAATTGGAATGGATGGTCTTTATCTCAATCTGATAAAAACCATCTATGACAGATCAACATCATACTAAATGGACAAAACCTGAATCTTTTCACTCTAAAATCAAGAACAAGACAAGGATGTTTTCTGTCTCCACTCTTATACAACATAGTCCTGGAAACATTAGGTGGAGCAATTAGTAGAAAGAAATAAAATGAATAAAGATAATAAAGGAAGAAATTAAACTATCATTATTTGCAGATGGCATGATATTCTACTCAGAAGACCACTGAAGCTCCACCAAAAGAATACTAGATTTCATAAGCCAATTCAGTAATGTTGCTGGATACAAAAATCAACATTCAGGATCAATAGCCTTCCCATACATGAATAACAAACAGAGAGAGAAATTAGTGAAATAATACCTTTTAAAATACACCCCAAAAAATGAATTATCTAGGAATCAATCTGATGATGATGTTAAAGACCTCTCTATTGAAAACTACAGTACTCTGAAAACAGATTTAAAATGATATTAGAAAATGGAGAGATATCTCATGGTGTTGGGTAAGAAAAACCAATACAGTGAAAATGGCCATATTTCCAAAACTGTAATATAATGTGAATGCAATCCCAATCAAAATTCTAATAGCATATCTCACAGAATTAGAAAAAACAGTAGTAAAATTCGTCTAGACTTATAAGAGACATAGACTAGCAAAGGCAATCCTGGGCAACAAAGACAAGAAAGGGGGCATCACAATCCCTGACTTGAAATTATACTATAAAGCCACTGCAATAAAAAGTGTGGTACTGGAAAAATTTAGACCTGAAGATTAATGGAATAGATTAGAAGAGGCAGAAACAACTGCAGATGCAATAAGCCACCTTATCTGTGACAAAGGTGACAAACACATTCACTATAAGAAAGATAGCCTCTTTAATAAATAATTCTGGAAAAACTGGCTCAACACATGCCAAAGATTGAAACTGGACCCAAATCTTTTACCGCACACCAAGCTAAAATCAGAATGGATCAAAGATCTTAACATTAAAACAGAAACATAAAATCTGCTGGAAGACAGAATAGTTAACTCTTGAAGACACTGGTAAAGGCAAAGACTTTTTGAACAAATCCTCAATTTAACAGGAAATATCACAAAGGATCAACAAATGGGATTTCACTCTATTGAAAAGCTTTTGCGTAGCAGAAGAAACCAGCAATAGAGTAAAGAGACAACCTGCAGTTTGGGAGAAACTATTTGCCTGCTATACCTCAGACAAAAGATTACTATTGAGAACATCTAAAAGCTCAAAAAATCAGTTCTCCTAGATTTAAATATACAATCTAAAAAGGGGCATCTGAGATGATTATAAAATGAAGAAATAAAAATAGAAAATGAACACATAAAAAATGTTCATCCTCACTGGTCATTCTAGAGATGCAAATTAAAATATTTCTATGATTCCACCTCACCTCAAAAAATGGCTATTATCATGAAATCAAGCAATAACAAATTAGAGAGGCTATGGGGAAAAAAGAACCCTTCTCTACTGTTGGTGGGAATGCAGACTGATGCAATCATTATGGAAAGCAATGTGGAGATTCTTGAAAAACTAAGACTAGAGTTCCCATTCAAACCAGCTATTCCCCTTCTGGTTACCTTCCCAAAAGAATCGAAAACATCATACCATATTGATATATGTGCACTGATGTCTTTAGTAGCAGAATTTGTAATAGCCAGATCTTAGAAACAACCTAAATGACCACTGATTCAGAAATGTATAAAAATATTTGATATTTTTATACATTGGAATACTAATTGGCCATAAACACGGATAAACTGCAGACTTTTTAAAGTTTGTTTTGATTTTTTTTTGTTTTTGATCTGTAGACTTTTATAGGTAAATGGATGCAACCTGAGACTATACTCACTAGTGAAAAAAATAAGACACACATGTGTAAACATCATATTGTCTCATTGGTATGAGAAGCTGAAAGAAACAACATATGTATATGTGTATGTATGCATATAAAATAATTAAGATAGTTATAAAAACATTATTTTACTTTGACAAGGAATCAACTGATCTTACCTGCTCATGTATCTGGCTTGATCCCTCATGGCAAGTTTCATTTCCAACATTTGTAGAAGTTGAGTCACTTGCTGTAATGCTTTTGATTTGCTGGTTACAATGGAATTGTTGACAGTGTGAAGAGTGGGTGATCGGGGGATGTTGGATAATGTGATGAAGACAATGAACCTGAGGACAGCATTCCTGAAACACATACACATGTCATAAATAACCACTGTGAATAAGTAATGCTAGTCAAGAAAAACAACCAAATACATTATTAAAAATTCCTTGTGTTTTTTGTACAATAATTCAAATCCTGGAGCTTATATTTTTGATTAGTGCTGTTATTTTTCATATTATTTCATTAGTAAAATTTGCACTGAATTCTATTTTACTTTGACCAGAAATCTGTGACCACCCAAATATTTACTTATACATGCTAGGGTAGTACATATTCTGATTAATTCACCCTTCTAGTTAATCTTAACACTACAGCTACAATGAATATTAAGTGTCATTCAACATGTACTTTAGTGTCTAAATATATAATAATATTATACTACTGAAGGTATACGCAGATATAAAATTAGAAAACAATATAATGTAGTGAATTTACATACCAGATTATATATTAGAGACATGGGGAGGGACAGAGTTCTTATGCTTATGAGAACAGATCATGAATTTAACAAAAAGTTTGTAAACCAACAACTTGTGCAACAGATCTAGAAAACATGGATTCTATATTCTAAAGGTAATTATACCACTTATCCTATGAACCTGAGAAAACTGTATTTGTGCTTGTTTACGTGAGTGTGTATATAAAAACTTTTATGAGCCTCATTTCCATTTTGTAAAATGAGACACAGTACAAGTGTTATTGGTTTGTTGTGAAGAGCAAATGCAATAATATCTGTAAATTACATAGTGCAAAGTAGATTGATAATAGACCTTTATTACTACTATTATTATACAATCATTATCACCATCAACTTTAACATTGACCCAGTAATTTCAAAGGTAGAAAACAAAAAAGATGTTTAGAAAAACATGATTTATTTTTATCTCACAGCTAACAAATTGCAGAATTGTAACGAGCTCATAATTTTTAACCTAGAGGGTTTTTTTGGACATTAGATTGAATCTATAAGACCTTAGACTAATCTGGATTTGTTGTTTTTAAACTATAACTTTGCTACTTACTTGTTAGGTGTTAATTTCTTTTTCTCTATTAAATCTGCACAGAAACTAACAAAAGACAACTGTTATTTCAGTTTTGAGGGTTCTGCTTTACTTGAATAGTATGTTATTTCTCTACATTGAAAAGAGGAATCTATAAGCTGATTTTCACAGAGAAAACAGTCATAATGCTATATTCATACATATATCATCAACTTTGAAAGTATAAATTCAGTTTTTTGTTTCCTTTGGATTGTAAAAATTTGACCAATATTAAAATAGTAAAGTACTTTACATTTTAAATTGTAAAATGAATCAATTTTAAGGATATATTAAATAGAAAAACCAAAGCGCAGCAGAATGAATATAGTATTCTTTCTCTGGTATATCTTGTAAAAGAATATACACAAATATTTACAAATATACAGAAGTGCTTTTATATGTATAGACCAATAAACTTCAATGAGTGGCTATCTCTGGCAAGAGAAAATAGAGGTAAGGAGTCCAAATAAATAAATAAATTTATTTTGGCAGCTAGTGATATGCTTAGCAGCACAGTGCCTGCCTGGTAAGCACAAGGTCCTGAGTTCAATTGCAAGTACCTAAATATATAATTTTTAAAAGAAAGAGGCTTATTTTTCATTGTTTACATTTTAATTTTTTTGATATTCTCTTTATATGCGAAAAATACTTACTCTATATAAATTACCTTTTCATGTATAGGAACATATTTTGAAATAAATAAAATATATAAAGAAGTATATTCTACAAATAGAAATTACCTTGGTAAACATCTAAACGTGGTAGAATCAATTTTTACACATATTACTTCTAGAGTCTTGAGATATAATTAACTTTCCAAGTGATTTTGCATTATTTACAATTTTAGAAACCAACCATATGATATCAGCAATTTTTGTACAGTTTGGGGGAAAATGATGCATTACCTCTTTTTTGTTACAAAATAAATTCATTAATGAGAAAAAAGTGTATATGATCAGGTGAATATTAAAATAAGAGCAAGGAGTAGCAGTGCTCTATTAAAAGAGATTTGGGGCAGGGGATATATAGCTCAGTGGCACAGCACCTCCCTGGCAACTGCAAGTTTCTAAGTTCAATTCCTGACACCAAAAAAATAAAATAAAATAAATAAGTAAAACTGGATTTTTGTTGTTATACATGCTTATAAATAATATAATGTGCAGAATATTTAATTTTTTAACTGGAGAATATGAATTACCAAAGATCTTTCTGTCTGGCAATCTCCATATGAGCTAGACAAACCAAACAAAGCACTGTTTCCAGAGGAAAGAAAGTGAGTTCACTGGTCAGCCTAGACACCCCTACCCCCAGGCAAAGTCTCTCCATTTGTGAAAGTAAGTAGAAGAGCCTGCTGGCTGAATTTTGACTGAAATAGTATAAGACTGAGAGCACTCTTCGTTTGTGTTTTTATATGTGTTTTTCTTTTCTTTTTTATCAACATAGTAATTGATTTTGAACTTCGCACAACTTTCCTCAATCTTCAATTACACTTTGTTCTCTCATTATTGTTTTTCACACCCTGGAAAATATTCCCTCAGACCTCCTCTCTATCAGATATAAAAATAATATAATGAAGTCCCACCTCTTTTCTTTCAATTGGTTCTATCAGCTTTGTCTGCTTTTCATCTTTCTAACTTTTCCTTCCTTTCACCTTCCCTCATCCTGCATCCTGACAACAGAATTTCTGAGTTATTTTAAAAAGGGTATAATTATTCCTAAAAAAAGCTTTAAATTACATAATTGATATATGCTTCACACTGAAAATGTTAATGTAACTGGTAGTGGTATTCTCCTCAATGCATAGATTAAAACTGATCCTATCACGTTGAGCCAAAATTACATCACAGAGAAATATACACTAACTACAGAGAACTTCACACTAACAACACAGTTTGTCTTTCATAAGGTCCTCAAACCTCCACATAAAAACAATAGAAACATGAGAAAGCAAGGGAATAAGATGCTTACAAAATTTTTAACTCCCCCCAAATTGATCTTCTAGGCACTGAAATGGAGAAAGTTAAAAACCAAATAGTTAAAATATTTGATGTTATCAAGAGAAGAAAGAAATAGATTCATAAGATGTTCATCAAGGTCAACAGGATATAAATGGATAAATGAGTTATATATACAGTGATTAATTGATAAAATTATCTATAGGCTTAAGAAGAAATAAAAAATATTGAGGATATTACATAAGGTATTATAACATACACATAATGAGTTACTAAATAATTGTATATAAAAATAAATTGAACTTAATTCTAAGATATAAAAGTTATCTTTAAATTATGGGCTGTAAAAATCACCAAAGAGAGGACAGACTGTCAGGGCTAAAAGATAAGACTGATATAGTGGCAGGTCCATATTCATTAACAAAATGCAATGGATAGTAGATTCAACAGATACTAATTGATTTAAAACCCAACTGAAGAATTATAGGAGTCAAGAGAAGTTTAGAAGAGAAAATATAAAGTATAAAAAGTTACTTATCAATTTACAGCAAAAAAAAAAAAAGCATTTCCTAGTCTTGTGAATGAATGTAATTTCCAGGTAAATGAGTTCAATGTAACCCTTAAACACATCAACAGAGAAGCACATCATCACAACACATTATAGTTAAAATTTTACAAGTCTAGCACAAAGAGACAATACTGAAAGCTATTAGAAAATAAATCAAAATAAATTATGAAGATAAGCTTATAGAAAATTTCTCAATGGAAACCTTAATGGCTAGGAGAGCCTGGAGTACAGTTTTTAAGGCCTAAAATAAAACAGTGTTCAATTTAGAATAACACAATTTGCACCGTCATATTTTAAAATAGAGAAATAAATATTTTCCATGACACACAGCACCTTAATAAATTCATAACAACTAAACAAGCATTAAAGAAAGTACTAAAAGTAATCCTAGACAGAGAAAATGAGTTTAAAAACACCAAGGAGCCAAAATGAAAGAAAATATCTAAGAAAGTGAGTAGGTAAGCAAAAGGGAAGTTAAGCAAAATAAAGAAATTGGGAATAGAAAAATAATTCAATGACATGATTCAATAACTCACTGCAGTTTTAGTAAACACTCTAAATGTAAGCAGTCTTATTTATCTACTCAAAAGACAAAGATTGACATATTAGATCAAAATCAAAACCCAACTATATGTACCTATAACATTATTAAAGAAATGCATAGATTGAAAATTAAAGAATGGAAAATGATACTTCATGCAACTGGAAACCATTAGCAAGTAGGAATAGCTGTCCTGCACTCAAAAAAGTGGGCTTTGAGCCAAAACTGGTGAGAGGAGACAAAAGTATCACTATTTATGGTTAAAGTGAACAATGTAAAGGAAGAGATAAAAATTAATAATATATAAATGCCAAATGCTGACACATCATATTTTCTAAAACAATACCTGACCTAAAAGATGAGAAAATCATCAATACAGTCATGGTGGGAGACTTCAGTACCCCATTTACACAAATAATTTTACCAGGTAAAATATCAACAAAGAAATATCAGAGTTGAATCATATCATCAAACAAACAAATATAACAGATATGTACAGAGTATTTCATACAACCACAGCAGAATAAATATTTTTCCCAGCAATACCAAAACAGATCACATTTTGGACCATAAAGCATGTGCAACTAAATATAAAAGAACTGAACTACCTTATTGCTTAATATCAGATCATAGTATCACAAAACCAGAATCAACAGAAGAAATCACACAAAATATGAAAACATATGGAAAATAATATCCCCTGGAATAAACAATGGGGAACAGAAATCATTAAGGAAGAAATTACAATATTTGTAGAACCAAATGACAATTGCATTGCAAAATACTAAATCCTATAGCACATGGAACCAGTTCTAAAAGAAATACTTACACTAGAAAAATACAATAATCCCAAGTATATAAACTAATGATACATCTTGAAGTCCTTGAAAACAAGAACAATTCAAATTTAACACTT